TTGCTGGTCCACTGGAAAAAACTGACAGTCCTTTCGCAAGCGAATGCAGTTTTCACATCGTCCTTCCGTATCATCTGGCGCTACAAGACATCGGATCTTTCGTCGTCGACAGTGCACTGTAAAGGTATAAGTAACATGGTCACATGTGAATACCCCGTTCCCGAAACGATGGCTTGTTTATTTCCTCCTGATCGACAGAGTTTCGCACTTCGAAAACGAGGAGAGAAAGGCGACAAGCAAACAGGCGATGGGTGCGTGGGATATATTACTGACCACATGCGACAGAGGTTCGATGATATCCCAACTTATTGCGCTTCTTATCATTTGCGTCCATGGTGCTTTGTGAGTTTGCTGTCGATGTCATCTGGTCGACAGCTACTGGCATAGCTCCAACGAGCACGGTTCTGTCGCTGTATCGGTCGAGGGTGCATCAAAAGCCACGGCAAAGCGAAAGGTGTGATTTGCGAAGCAGCCGGCCGAGAGTACCTCGAGATGTGATCAAAGGTGTATGCGACAAGAGTCCGCGCAAGGCCATACAAATACTGCACAGAGAGTATGACCGATGAGTGCCTCCAGAGGATGACGCTGCTTCAATTCTCAAGTTCTGATCCACATACGCCACACTGGATCAAGTATGATATTGCGCGCGTTTCAGAGCGAGGATGTCGGGCGTATGTCAGGGCCCGTGTGTCTCCAAGTATAGAGGTGATGTTGCAGTAGAATGGTCGAGGATAGATTGATTCCAGGTTGGGAGTTCCAAACTTCCCAAGTCCAGCAATTGCGAATTAATCAATGATAATTATAGTAAAGTGTTCGTGGAAGGGGATTTGGACGGGGTTAGGGCCTAGAAGTTTATTGTGGCCCAGTTTGAGATCGAGGAAGAAACCACACTAGGGGGACGAGTCAAACGATAACCAAAAAGAGATTAGTAGAGAGAAAACAAAAAAAAGAAAACAAAATTAGGGTATTCAAAAGGAGCGAATATGAAGCGAACGGTGTGAAGAGAAGAAGAGCAGATCGAAGATGGTAGGTATAGTCCAATAGGTAGAAGCTAATCGCGGGGTGAAACGCCCAAAGGCCTTTTGGGTTTTTTTTGGGAGGTTTTTTTTTTTCCCTGAGATTTTTGATTAAATTTAATTTTCAAGCATGTATATCACGCCGTACGTGGAACAAGGTGGCTCTCATAACTAAGACTAACACGGATATATCGAGTTAGCCCAAATCAACTGCAGGTCATTGTCAATGGATGATCAGTTCAGGGGTCCGCGGATAACTTCCCTTAATGCTCTAGATTTACTGGCGTTTGAATGGTATTTCTTGTTTTCTGCAAGGTTTTCCTTTTCGATCCTTTTTTCGTAATCTCTTTTTCACCTACGTAGCTCCTTTTTTTCTAAACTCCTGTCACCGTTAGATCCGTCCTTGATTAGGTAACTTTCCAATGCCCCTGATTGCGTACTGTAGACCCGGTTCTTGAAATGAAGCAGAGACAAGGAACCATGGTCTGGGAGCCCTGACAACAGTGGGGATGTGTGGATGTTGGAGTGGCCGCTCAAAGTGTACGATACCAGTTAGGCTTAGGGCCAACAAGGATACCTGTCAATCATTGATGAACTGGGGAATGCTTCCTTCAAGTCCCGACTAGGTGATTAGTGCGTGACGCGAGCTTAGGTCGGCACTCAGGACCAATAGGCTCGTTGATTTGAGGGTCCATCAAGAAGAACCTTCTGTCTCCGGTCATTTCACAGGCTGATCCTTAGAAACCTAGGGGGCTTCTCGAAGGGGAGTGCGGTTCGATCTAAAGCATAAGTTGTGTTGCCCACATGGCCTTCTAGAAGACTGGAAATCACGCTATCCCATATTTTACTCCGTAACATGATGTGAACTGAAACGAACCATCGATTATTTTTGTGCTAAAAACAGATTCAGGGTCCACGGTTGATGTGTATCAGGTTATTGGTTCGTGTTTTGGATCCTTTTTCTTTTGTTTTTTCTTGTAGTTTGTTTAATATAACGTTGAATTATCTAAAAAAGAATAATAAATATCTTCTGTGGTTTTGGTTTTGCCCCTTTTCCAGTAGCTTTAATCCGATTTGGTTGCATTTATCAGGCAAAAAAAAGAGGAAACCTGTCAAAAGATCCATGGAAATAGTGGACCAATCAGTGACCACGGACCTTTCTTCATGGATCCAACCACAATGTTCGGATGAGCAGTCTCTACCTAATTGTACCCCGTGCATCCAATGCTCATAGGACAATCTCACTGTTTCAACGTTGATGATGGCGTATTGAGCGACATTTTCTAGAAACACGTACGTGGCCCTTTAAGATTTGATTCTACTACAATAAATCATATATTTTGCAAACCAATCGGTAGACATAAATCTGCATCTACACAGCCCTGAACTACACCCAAGTAGGATAACCGTCCGAAAGCCCTAGCAGACTACGGAGTACTACAAATAATAATATAATATAGTATAGTACAGCATAGGTAACAAAATGCGAATTGCAAGCGATCTCACAAACTCTGTGTGGGGCAGGTCAAGGTTTGATTAAGGATCGTCTGGATGTGGTAGCGTGTTACAGGTTGGGTCTTGGTATTCGTATGGGGCTCATCTCGGGGCTTTTTCCTTCTGTCTCAGCTTCCATTAAGGCTAAATCATACAATAGAAGGGAAGGTTCTGATTGAATGGAAAAGATCAGTGCTTATTATACTCCGTATGATAATGTGCCTGTTCGAACAGATGACAGAAGAAAAAAAGGGGGTGGTTATTATCAACTACTACTGGTTAAAATGAAGAGGAAAACGTGTCAAGTCCGGCGTGGCTTGAGGAATATCGTTCTGGCAAGTGGACTGGAGTGGACGATGATCTTCATACTGTTGTATGGCGTATCACGTCAACAAAACCCCTCAAGGCCAATAAACGCCACCGATCACCGTACTCTCGTGCTCTCCAAGCCCTTGACAACGTATAATTCACCAGGAGAGTCTCAAGTATACATACTATCCAATACATGCTGTGCCTTCTAGCTTTTGCCTAATGGGATGCTTCCACCGCCATTTTGCGAAGATAAACTACATCCAACATTGGACTTCCCACGCTCTGGCCCCGCAATTTAACACACACTGGTCGAAGATCGACGAGCACGGGGTCTTGAGGAATGGTCAAGAGCCGATACTATTGGGTCTTACAACAGAGACTCTTTGCAGCTGGGATTTGATCCCGAGCTGTCCAGGTAGGGTACATGTATCGTGACGCGGCGAATGTAAATGCGATAGATCTCGCTAGTGTGAGGCAAGCGACTCCAATCATATATTGTAGCACTAGCCATACAGAAATAGGACACATACGAGAATATATTGGTACAATATATTCCGTACATATTGTAGCAGGAATGTTCGTACTCGGTTCGCTTGAATAATTAGGTAAAGCCCAACGGGGCGTCGCGTCGTCGTCGATCGGCCAAAGTGTTTGAAACTGAAACAAGGGTCCAGTCCAGGGCTGAGCCAGATCTTGCTAATCTTAGCCAAGAATAGTTACACTCATGTGGGTGGATAGATGTAGAAGACTCTTACAGTCTCAGATGTCGCTTAATCACGTCTACTAGCCAACTAGCCTACTTAGGTACATACTATTAATATTGTAGTTTTGTACAATTCGAGAAATACCCATAACTATTCCCTTCTGGGATTAGCAGTCAAAGCCCCAACCCCCAACTGCCGGGCTCCGCAGTGGCGTGCAGGTATGTATTCCTACCCTATGAGCTACAGCCAAAACCCCGTTGAAATCGACCCACTTTTTTGTAAACCTTGAGGATATCCAAAGAATTTGAGCGCCAGCCCGGAATTGATTCGCTTAGATAATACCATCGTTGATGCGCCGAGGCTTCCCAATTAGGCCTAGTCCGCCCAAACTTTCTTTTCAATGTGTTTTTTTAGGCTTAACGCCCACGTGATGAGTAGATTGGATTGATTCTATTGGCTTAGTGCTATATCCCGCCTTTTTTAGTTGGAATTCTGCCGGGCGTAAACACCTTCAGTTTCGAAATATTTGCTCTGACGATCCTTCGATTGTAACGGGCTTGACTGTACTAGGCGTGCTGCCATGATCGTTCTTTAGGAAACGGAATAGCCGATGGTTTAATCCTACTAGGATACTTTCGGGGTCAGTGCCATTTTGGAGTATCTACCCCGTAGGCTCTACATCCCTGAACCATGAAGCCTCGGTAGAGGCTTAATTTGCTCAAGAGACTGCATTGCATAAGAATGCATAAGTATGCAGATGAGAAGACGATATGATCTAATATGTATGGGAGAAAGAACTCTGCAGATGAGATACAGTTTCCTCTACCTACAAGATGCTTCATATACAATATATACATAGTAACAGAACTCCGTACATCGTCCAACTATAGAGTACATCTATCCCTGTGGACCGATAATACAGAGATCTCACTGGCCTCCCAGCTTTAGACCGACTGTTTCACCATCTTCGGGGCCCTTGACTCCATTCGGTCATCGGCCCCCTCAAGGGGGAGGGTCACCCTTTTTAACCTGCAACCTGCCTTACGCGTCCTCAAGAAAAAGCCCATTCCTCTCTCCGTTTCCCCCCTATCACGATTTGCGGCGTTTTTATTTTTTTATTTATTTTTATTTGTTTTCAGCTGGAGGAGAAAAGGAAGGTGGTATTTACCGTGCTCTAGCTGGCGTTCTCCGATGGGAGGGCTTTCCCCTTACCCCCACGGCTTCTCCGGAGAGGAAACCCGTTCAAGCCACCAAAGGCTTTTCCGGTCCCAAAAGGGGGCCAATGTCCGTGAACTTATTATTCGTATATTGTACTCAATCATGGAAACAGGTCGATTTGCGCGATTATGACCTTTTGTGTTTCGGGCTCTATTACGGACAGTCCCCGAATGGCGCCTCCAGAAGTAGCAACATGCGCGACCAACTCGATTCATTTGCAAAATGCCACCTCATTCGCTCACACGTACCACAACCATTACATCCATCGCCCTCGCTTGCCTTATTGAACACGCGACACAACTTGTCACACGAGTTCCTCCGGACCGACTTATGATTGCATGACACCCAACAGAAGCACACCACGCCCGAGCGAACGTTTCCCTGTCTCGGTTGCCCCGCGCGTCGATGACAATAATCTCCGGGGCATGAGTTGCCTCCGGGTTTACCAGCGATGTCAATTGCGGCGTCGGGGCAGAGGGAAGAGAGTCCAACGAAACATACTTGTACCGATAAGAGCTGTGCAGAGGATGACCCGGTAGACGTGAGTACTTGGACACGGGTTTTGTAGGCCGTTGGGTTCCAATTTTCTCGCGGTCGGATGGCTTGTGAGAGGCGATCCCCAACGGTGGACAGCACTCATGGGCGGAGATAAAGCGAACATTATACTTGAGGGGGAAAGAAACCGTAGTTGAAACTCCAGCGCCATCTGCGCCTCCAATCAAGAACGACATGGATGCCTCGGCAGATGTAATTCCAAACTCGCCGGCAGGCCTGTAATCCTTGACAGACAGATTCAAGCCTTCGATGTTGACGGATATTGCACTTGGCTCAGGATTATCCGTTGGAAGTGTAAAGGCCTTTGCTGAGATAGCTCCCGCGCCTAGCGGCGACGATTCCAGCGCAAGCTTGGTTCCTTGCTCGATTCGAGGTACGCTCGAAATCTGCAAGACCTCTTCAACCGGGACTTCAAGCCATCCACACTGGAATATTTCCCCTGTAATCGCATCGCGGGGCATCATGTCGCTGCTGATCCACCCCATGCATGTCTTAGCTCCCGCTGAACTAGACAAGACACGTCCGACAACGCATGCTTTGCTCCACCAACTCCGTTGGTCATAGACGAACCCTCCATAGAGGTTGGCAATTGAGCCCAGTTTATCCATTGCATCCGCGTCATTCTCAAGGAGCGTCGCCATGAGAAGATGACTAATCCCCTCTCCAGGTATCACGAAACCGGAGAGCCAGGAGCGCGAGATCCAGCCTAAAGTTTTAGATTGTGGATCGCCAGAGCCACCAAGCTTGACACGTCGACGGCAGGGATCTCGTGTGTACATATCCTCCTTGGCCAGTAACATCTCCTGAGATATCTCCTCCCATCCCCACCTATCATGAACGACTAAGGCTGGCAGAACCGGATTGTGAGGGTCTCCAAGTTTGAACTCGATGGCAGTTTTCAATGCAGCCAATTTTGGCCATCCAACATTTTCTGCGAAGACATACAGACCCTCCAGTTGTTGCCGAATGTGCGAAGAGCTCAGTTCACAGTCCCAGGCGGACTTTAAATCCGCAACAGGGGGCGGACTATGCCGACTGATGGTTTCGAAAAGTGAAAAACGATGCGACTTGGTGGCTGAGAGTTTCAATCGTGAGCCATCTGGAGATGGCCCTGATTGTGGCGGCGGGCAACTGATATCGAGGCTGCTGAGGAACCGGCGCACAACAACCAAATCCCAGTTCAGCTTGCCGTCTCGCAAGTTCTCGAATTCCCCAAGCTCGCGCATTGTGATATGGCCAGCGTGCGCATCATGCAACATGCCAGCTCGAACGAACGCATCCAAGCGAAGAAGCAACTCGGCCGAGAGGAGCATCTGGATCAGCAACCACTTTCGCTCCATCCCGGACTTGATCATAAGATCCCACGGTACTTTCTCATCGCCTGAACTGGGGCCCAGACAGTCCCCATCGCCATGCAGGGATGCCTCCCATAGGACCTGCCCTACGCGAAAGCGCCATTCGGGGAGACTGAAATTGATCCATGCGCCTGGGGTGGCCAGCACGATTGACAAAGTTTTGATCTGGGATTTGATGCTTTGCGCATGACCCCCTATGATGTCGGCAGGTTGGGGGTGAAGGAATTGTGTGTGTAAGCTGTCGTACAACTCGCGCGGACTTTCAATATCCAGAATTGTCTTTGTCGATCCCTCTGTGAGCATCTCATGTCGAAACTGGCGCAGATGTTCTAGGCGTTGCACCAGAGATCGAAGGTTGATATCTCGTACTCCAATGCGCTTCCAGGCCTCGGGGCCTTCGCAGATGAGTTTATGTCGATCGTGGACGGCACCGCTTCGGCATTGCGAATAGGGTTTGCCATATCCCTCCATTATATCAAACGCCACGGTTGCCGCCATGGTCGAGATTTGCTGTAGATGTGGAGATTTCTTTGGCTTTTCGGGGCCAACGTATCGGACCGTGTCGGCCACAGGTAATTCGAGAAAGTGCCGGAAACCGACGGTCCCAGGTTCTTTGCCATTGTTAGACAGCATGTTGGGTACTTCGAAGATGCCGACGTCGAACGTTGCCCTGTTGGTAGCGTCTGTTTGGCGCCAATCAAGGACTTTGATCGGAACGCCACCCTTGATAGCCCAGTCGTCTGGGAGCGGCAGATGAGCGTGAAGTGTGCTCAGAGTAAAGGATGCATGGGGTAATGGCTTGCGATCCCACATGTGTTGGATTACCGGGTTATGATCATCCCACGGGAATATCACTTGGGGATACCACAGATGATAATTGCCTCTCTCCAGCATAAAGTGAGGTGCTCCAGAAAAAATTGCCTTGATGTCTTTCGCTGTGAGTTTTGTCTCCTCTTTTGGGTTGTGGTGGGCAACAGGCAAGTTTTCTTTTGGTTTGCCCGCCATCTCCAATCTGGATTCGAGATGATCATGGATATTTCCAGGTTGCGTTGGCTCGGCCCCTGTTACGGGCGAGTCGTGCCTAGGGGGGCCACGGGGATCTTTGCTGTCATCTTGCCGGCCACTACTCTCTTCTGGGGATTTGGGCGGCGCCGGCGCGCTCGCCTCAATTGGACTTGATTTTTCTTTTCCCTGTTTCGCATGAGCTAACAGTTCTAATGACAAAATAGTTAAGACATTCTTACTTGTGTTGCGGTTGGAGAAGTTATGTCTGGACTATTAATGTGCCTCCGAAATAGGTTTCGGAACCCCCCGTTGTTGGGATGATCCTCTTGGGGAGAGTCGGGAGGGCGATGCGATAATGATCGCTTAAGTGACTCAAACTCATTGTGAGCAGGAGGAGAAGCTGCATCTGAGGAACGACGGCGGCCAAACATGGAAGACATTAGAACCAAGTGAAGACGCAACTATCGCATCTTCTAAATAGAATGCCCTGGTAAAAGTAAAAGATTAAGAAGTGGAAATAAATCAAGTATATGCGGAGTGCCGATCTCCGCCCCTCGCGGCTGGTGGGGTGACGCTGAAAGCTGAAACGCGACAGGTGAGAGCGCCGTTTTTTTTTTTTGTGAATGCACAACTTAAGCGACTTCGGTGAATTTATAGATCCCAGAATTGTATTGTAAAATAAAGGAACGGTAGATTAAGGGAATTAAGGGGATCAAGGAGATCAAGAAGGTTAAGAAGATTAAGAAGGTTAAGGTAAGATTCGGAAAGTGATGACGTCTTGCGGACTCATATATATACAACTTATATCCACCTGGGCACCCGTCTAGGTGCCATCCGCGAATGAGATGATTGGCCGATATTAGAAGACTGGCGGATTGTACAAAGTGCAACTATGTTGTGGGTCATTCGAAAAAGTAAAACACTTTTTACTTAGTTATACATATGCACATTATCTTACTTAGGTACTCCGGACGTACTCCGTATGCTATATCAAATGTATACGTACATAGTTATGTACGAACTAGTTAAATTACATATGCTCGGCTACCTACATGTAGTTATACCCAAGTAATTTATTTACACCTTATGTATCTTCAATCAAACATGAGTCATCGAGATTTGTTCCAAAGTTAGCTTCTTAATAATAATATTTTATCAAGTTATACAGCTTATGCTTGTTGTGCATACACTAGAAGGACGCTATGTGTACCTGTGCATAGGAAGGTAATTTGGTTTGTCGTAAGACATCATTCTCCATTCAAATCTAGTTCGCATACCACCATCAAACCTCCGCGGTAAGGAACTCCCCAGAGTCAATTATGCCCTTTTTTCTGTTGTTTACGCGTGCTGGTGGAAGAATTCGAGAACAGTCTTATATCCGCGCTCGTATTCCTTGCGCACCTCGGGATTCTCCAGGTCCGATCGGGCAGCCATCCAGCCATGGATCTGAGTTGGGAAAGTCTCGACGTACTTGGGGACCTTCAAGTTTGCCTCAAAGTCCTTGACGTCTTGGGCGGGCTCGTCTTTCGAGGCGAGGAATACCATGGGGATGTTCACGGCCTTTGCATCGTTGGGGTCGACCATGGCCGGGTGGCACTGTGCGACCGTCTTGAATAGCTTGTTATCAGCGCCGGAGGACAGACAGGCGATCTTGCCGCCCCAACAGAAACCCAGGATCGACCAGGAGCTGAATTTGCCGCCAGGCGCTAGCTTGTTGCCTTCGGCGACGACATTGGGGATCTTGGAGAGTGTTTGGGGTGGGGCAGCCTTGGTTGAGAAGAAGTGTCCAAGCTTCTCCTTGTGTTCCTGGGTGGTGGGGGGATACCACGAGATGTCGGCGGGGCTACCCTCGAAAAAGTCGGGAATGAAAACGCGATATTTTTGGTCGGTCGAATTAGCGAGGATGTCGGCACCCTGGATGGTCTGGTCGAAGAAACCGAAGATGTCTGCAGATCACACAATTGTGTCAGTTAATGGCCGGGTTGAAACTCTTGTGGGGAGTGGCTTACCATATATGACCAGGATAGCCTTGGTGGCCGATTCTGGGCCGGTGACATCTGAAAGTAATCTCATTAGCTCAAGTCGTAAGAATTCGGCGAAAGCAAAAACCAACAGGTCTTCAGGCCGTTGATGGTCTTATATTCTCCTTTGGCCTGGTAGCCCTTGGATACAATAGGAGGGATTCTGTGCACGGTGATAGTCAGCGCGAAATTGGGGCATCACAGAGTGCAATGGTTATGGGGATCACGAACGAGCAACATGCTTTGCTGATTCCAGACATGTTTGTAGAGAAGCAATGGAAGGGAGGTGTGTTAAAGCGGTGTTTAGTTGCAAGCAATGGTCTTTGGAAGGTCAGAAATGGCCTGTATTTCATTTGGGGTGATTTGGACGAGAAACGAACATACGAGTAATTGGCTTTTGATTTAAAAGCGAAGTTGAAGAAAGTAACCCTGTGAATGTAGGAATGAAACTCCAGGTTATTGTACCCCGCCGCTCGACGTCATCGGACCAACACTCGGCAATTCAAAGCCCGATGCAATTAGAACAGAACATCCCAAGGCTATTCATATTGTCTTCTATATTGTTTTCTATTTCTTGATGGCTTAATTCCCGAGATCGATCCATCTGGTCTGTTTGGTCGGTCTCTAATGCGATCGGGTAATCGACCTATGAAAATATATATGGGGACCATGGCCGACGCTTCTATGTCATTTACATACAACACCGAAGACAACTAGCACAAATGATTGACAATGAGATTTGAGTTACACATTCCAATTAGATAATATGCTCGAAAAGCTGGGGTACTGAGTGGGCCTGTGTAGCGAAAAACTCTTATTTCTTGCAGTCAACCAAAGGGAACAACTTACAAGTATCACAAACGTCACCAGGTCTTAATGAGACCACTGCCTAAGGGTTTCACCGCGGAGACTGTCATACCGGAAATCTAGCTTTATGAGGTCCGTGAGAGACTAATATAAGGACAGCGAATCGAATCGGTCAAGTTTATGATCAATAGAGCAACACGATGCGAAAATTGACGTCTCTTGTTAATTATTACACCCAACACAACACAATGCAAGCAGATCCACCATCAGAATCCTGCGGCAAGGAAAGATTCTACAGCGACCGAAAAATGCTCGTGAGGCTGTTCCCACGGAGAGATAAAAAGCAAAAAAAAAAAAACATGAATTTTTTTTTGGCCGAGACAGGGAGGCTCTAGCTTAGCCTCTGATTGGGAAGCAGTGATCCTAGACCCTGAAACAGAAGGAGAGATCAGTGCTCTATTACCTTTGTTGAGGTTGTTGAGGTTGAGACCTACATATATCAGCACATTACTCCGTATAGTCGATATATTTGGAAACACCGCAAAATGTGAGCCCTCAAATCCACCGAGGCCGGGACATATTGTACCCATCAGCCCTGCAGGAAAACTCATGGTCGCAGATCTCCCGGGCGAGAAGAATAGTCAACCTTCCACGAAACGCCATTCCCGGGGACGATCGTGAACGCCAACCGTGAGCCTCTCCGAAGCCACGCCGGCAAGAGCCGAATGCAGGCGACACTAAGGCGTTCAAACCCAGCCAGGTGGATCCTTGCGTGCTGTCACATCGGGAGAGGCATCTGGACTGTAGGAGCCGCCTTGCATGAGAGGATCGACTAATCGGCTGCGAACCATAGCTCCAGGGATTGCACCTCCAAACCGAGAAAAGGCAGTGCGAGGTCGATCAACCGGGAACCAGCATACGATGGGGCCACAGGTTGTTGATGATCAACTGATCGTCGCTGATATCAACCTTTTCGGGCAGGCGACGTGCGGCTACAGACGCAGTGGACTTTATTTTTGAATCGAAGATAAATCGGGATTGTCTAACAAACGTCAGTATATTGCATGGATTGTGTAGAATGTACAATAATGGAGAAATGCTGTGTCTGTCGTTGGCTAGACATACCTAGGCAGAGGTATGCAGTTCCCAAGAATGTGACTCCGCCGCGTGTCTAAGACTTGCCCCCCTTTTCTTTTCTTTTTTTCTTTTCCTTTTGAGAGCACCGACGACCTCGCTACCGAATACGGGGGAAATGCGGACCGGATCGCAATATTAAATTCCATGTGCCGATGGACATGTCTAAGCTGTGCCAAGGAGCCAGCTATGCATAGATGGAACCACCGGCCCCTGCGGAGTATTCGGGACATATCTACAACGTCTTCGGAATTTGACGACGTTATGATTTGTTTACGGCAGATCAGCTCTCTCAAGTTTGATGTCTTGTCTAGTTATGTAGATTCAGAGTACGTATGTCTACTACGGTGATAGGATATCGATCGACAGGGCATGTCCCCCCTTTTCCCCCTACATAAGCATCTGCCACGTCCGTGCAGAAGGCAAGCGAAAGAGATGACTCTGTCGGTTGATTGGAGGATAAGACATGTTCTGTCGGGATTGAAGCGAGGTTCTCGCGTGGAGCCGAGATCCGTTTCATTTGGCGTTCCGCCACCCAAGCACTAGTATCTATATAGATCTATGGGCGAGGGAAACCCGAGGGAGTGGATGCTGGAGGCGATTGGCTTTCGGAAAGAGGTCGGGAGAAGTTGAGGTGACCTTTAAGGCCCGAACCAGAGTAAAAAGAGCGAAAAAGCCAAACGAGGGAAACGAAAGAAGCTACCACGGCCGGTGAACTCCGGGGACCAATCAAATTGACCTTTTAGTTTGGCTATTGGGGGCTAAAAGGGCAAAAAAAGAAGTGCAGCTGACCATAATCCGCAGACCAGAGATAGACAACATAGACCATACCTAGGTACGGCGGAGTTTGGTCTTCAATATACCTATGGTCCGAGTAGGTTGTATATTATAAAAGGGATGCTCAAACAAAAAGACAAATATTAAAAAGTAGCTTAACTAAATTGCGCGATCATGTGTTTTTTTTTTTCAACGAATGACCGGCAAGACAAGCTCGCTTGCCTCTGCCTTCTCTATGGGCTTCTCGTATTCTGGCCATTC